AGCAACGATTCAACTGAGTAGATGCATGATTTGGACATCGAATAATTTGGACTAGAACACAGCCCCGCGCACCATTATTCTGTGCACTTTACAGACCAGCAGGAACTCAGTTTCAGGGACATACCGTCGCCACAATGGTACATAAATCCAAAAATATTCCCAATTTTATTCCCCCAAGCGTCACTCTGCAGTGCATAACAATATAATTTCTTGTTCTTGGCTTGTAGAATATCACATCTTCGTCAAGTGTATACATGAAGAAATGGTATCTTTTGGGTTAACACTTCTCAGATTTTCAGATAAATGTGAACCCGATCTACTGTAAGATCTGCATTCAGGATTTCCAAACTAAAAGTTATATTTCTTCCGTGTAAGGAAAATCACACACATAATATAGGACTCATACAATCTTGGGGTGGGTGTAAATCGTGTTGTATACTTTACAGTCACGCATTAATTAATGAACAGATACGATACTTTATGAATGGAAATTTCATAGTCCTACAAACTATCATAATCATAAAGTCTTTAAAAACTGAAAGCAGCTTTTTCCTCAAATACAAAACATGAAGATATAACCTACCATCCCATTAATACAAAAAGCATATTTTACGCGCTTTTTCATAAAGCGTATTTAGATTTATAGGAGCTTCGAAAACCAATAATAAAAATCGTGCTACCTAAGCAGTCTCTTTTTACATAGTGTAGTCTTTTCAGGTAACTAGACAGAAGTTCATTCAAAAGGGAGCATCCTGACATGGCTGGAATATCTTGGGATTTTGCTCCAATATAATTAATATTACAATCATACTTAAGTAATACTTTATAATCAAAACCACATTTGATAATTCCTGTTGACATTTCATGAGAAATCACACCTACTACGCCTGTCTCATTCTGGCTAGAACACGGTTTCCTTTTTTCGGGAGTCAGTTAACATGCATAAAAGAAATTCGTGCGTCAGAGTACGTTCGGTTACGGCATTTGATCCGGTTTCCCTTGAAGCACTAAAGGATCCTTGGTGTGGTGCACGTGGAGTCAACATGTTCTTCTTATATTTGTATCGCCGCCCCAGTGCCGAGTTAGGGGGAAGCCGTTTAGATGTGGTAGACCGTACCAGTCGCCTCGTGAAGGTAGTGACTGCTCATAATATCCCATAACGGGCACCTCACTTC